TCAATTTACGGAAAGCCCCATAGCAGCAAAACTAACGGAAAAACAAGAAGATACGCCCTTAGGGCCTTTTGTAAATTGATTCTTGCTCCATGAGAAAATGTCGTAAACAGCTCGGAGACGTCTCAATGAGTATATGGTTTCAATGAGTATTGATTGACATATTACTTTTTTGCTGATAAGATATCTCTTATAGTTGTAATAATAAAAATGCTCTATCTCTTCAGAAACAGGCCAGAAACTCAAACTATTTTTACCATAGACATAGCTCACTATGGGCTACCAGATGCGCGAAACCCCAGCTGAAAAGCGTTCCTTCACCTGGGAATGTTCCCTTGTCAGTCAATACCATCCAACCGACTTCAGAATATCAGAAAATACTCTATTTGATTTGGAACATACCGTAAAGCTTCAAAAATGTTGAGAAAATCAACAGAAAATACTTTTGTTCCTAGGAAGGTTTCCCAGAAAATAGAGTATTTTCTGATATTGTGAAGTTGATTGGATGGATATTGACTGAGTTATGAATGTTTTAGTTTTTCATGAAAATAATCAGAAATGGGCTATTTCAGCTATTAAAGGTTTTCACTCGGTTCTTGCATTTTGTTCAGAAACCTAATAAGCTGAAAGCTAAGGACACTTTAGACTGTATATCTATGAAAAAGAATCCGTACATATGTCAAATTTAAGAGACTGAATTGGTCTTCCAAAAATGCTCTGGAATACCGGCTTCGAAAATTTTTCCAAAATTTGTTTTTGCTTATAGAAAAGTAGCTTCAAGCCTTGGCCATCAAATAGTGTCAAGCGCAAGTCTTTATCTTTTATTCCCTTCGAGGTATTCAAACAATAATGTTATCGCGCGGTTGATCAATTGGTATCTCGTTTTTGGAAAAGCAATTGTCACTTTGTACAGTAAGAAGAGTATTGGTCTTTTAGTTGTTTTTATCAAAATGATTCTCAAACTGTGGACTACCTTTTAGCTATTTTTGATAACGATTACGCTTAGTTTTGGCTGAGATACGCGAGATTCATTCTCACGGGACACAAAAAGATCAAAGTGTTTGTTACAAAATTATTTTGATTTATTTGCACAGAAATTTTTGAATTAAACCGTTAATCCATTTACATATCTTGAAAAAGTTAGTCTTCTACTTCAAGCTACTCATAAGAAAAAGATTTAGAACTCATTCGTTCTTTAGGAAAGAATTCATATTTCAACGACAGACGGCGTCAAAAAACCTCCACCTGCAACAATACAACCATTATATCTTGGCGACGAAAGCAGTTAGAGAATTGTCCTTTTTAACGGTAGTGGGCAAAGATTAGAAAAATAAAACAGAAAAAGCTAAAAAAAACTGTTCAGTACCGGAAAAGTCAATACAATTTTATTTCTCGGATCTTGTCGGTACAATAACAGCGCAAATCGTACGTATACGACATTAGGATACATTCGTAGGGCAACAGACATCAGAAGAAAGGAATAAAACATGTGTATTTACGCAGCAACGAAGAGAAACATTGCTCTCCTCATGTACATAGTCTATGACACGTATCGATAAAGAGGGTAGATAAGAATCTCTACTTTTCCGAATGTCTCCTAATGTTTACAGTCGGATATGAATATGTGGCATACAGAAAAAGAAGACTTACACGCTAGAATTGTAGAAGCAGAAAAGAGTTGTTCTGAAACAAACTATGCAAATGACATTTTATCTTTACTCATTGCTCTTGAAGAATGTTCTGAGAATATGCAAGATTATCGAGATGGTATAATAAAAGAAACTGTGCAGATCACTTTTATAATGAGAGTAAAGTATGAAATAGACGATCATAATCATTCATTAACAGAAGCCTGTTCGACAATAGTTGAATTACATAACATTGTGGGAAACACATATACCCTGATGGGTTGTTTCCGAATATTATTAGAAAGCAACTCATGCACAAAGTGTAACATTTTTCTCCACAGTAGAGAAAATTGTATTTATTTGAGATTTATTTAACAAATCAATCATAATCACCAGAAACTGTATGTTAAAATATGTTGTATATTGTTAAAATACGAGAAACGAATTGTCAACCATGCTTGAATAAATATACGATCAACGTCAGCTTCTAATATCACTCATTTTTTGGGTTCTTTGTCTGGATCAACCAATGTATGAACAACTTTACCAGTGACATGTCGAAGTGACTAAAGTACACAAATATGAACATTTGAAACTAATGTTTGATCAGAAACACAACTTTGCACAACTTTTGCTGTAGATCAGCAAATTCATCAAACGGGTTACCTCAAACAGTAATATTTACTGATACAGTACAATAATTAGTTTAAAAATAAAACAATTTTTTTATTTAATTTGTTTTTATTTGTTTCTTTGATGTTTCGAGTATACTGCTACTGGAAATCAGTCGATTCGAAACATCAAAGAAACAAATGAAATAAAATAAAATTTCTATTTTTAAATTAATCATTGTGTTGTATCATTAAACATTACTCCGAGTTTTAAAAAGATTCTGCCAGTAAACAAGATTAATCGGATTACATCAAGCCTTGTTTGTAGAAAGACATAATTATTAGCTCTGGTACATTGCAAATTCCGAATGAAATGTTTATCACGCCGTCCCGAAAAGTAAAAGCAGGATAAGTTGGGAGTAAATTCTAATTTCTTTACAAGGCCGATAAATTACCCTTTTTTCAGGAAAACGGGAGTAAAACATAGCACACCTTCATATACGTTTAATACACAATATAAAGTTAACTCTCTATATTTTTTTCCTTCAAAAGAACACAAAAACAATACTGCAATTCTATCATCTACTTTTCATGAAAGAATATCTACAACTCACTGCTTACACAGATAGTTGTGCGTCGTATAGCCAACTTGAACTTAAGTATGGGTTCGAATGATCGACGAAAGAAATCATCGTGAAATTAGCAGTAAACGGTTCTGATCTGTCGAATAAAATGTCTTCCTTTCTTTTTGCTTCTCGATGCTGTCTGCGTATGCCGTCGATTCTAACTGAGAGAGAGAGAGAACGATACCATTATCCCTTTCCTTCCAAGTCAAAAACAGCTAAAAAGGACACTATTCTATTCTCTTTCACTAGCGTTCTGTTAGAATCACCAACAGTTTACGCAGACATTAGCTAAAAGTGAAAAGGATGGAGACATCTTATTTGATATAAATCTAGTGGCGAAAACGAAAAAGAAACGAATATATATTTAGAAATTGTTTTCTTTCAAATTTGACGTAAACTCTCACATATTTTGGTACCACCAACTCTTCCGCGAATGAAATTCTTTTCACAATGACTCTCACACTGCTTACTGCCATCACATTTCAGTTTGTGGAAGAGTCGTGTCACGCACATATTTCTTCTGTTGCTATTCCCACTGACTCCCTCGGCACCTTGTTTTTTTTCAGTTTAATCTTTTCTTTTTGAATAATGTTTTTGGAAGACGCATCTGGAGTATTCTTCGTGATCTCCTCAGAGCTGACTCGCTGTTACGACAAGAGTCAGCCTTTAAATCAAGGGGTCCAATGAGCAACGGGAGTACTGGGCGGTGTCTCAAATCGATTAATCGGATGAAGAGGCTCAGAGCAGTCAGCACTAGCATAAGAAGGTCATTAAAGTGCAAAACAATAACAAAAGCAAAAAGAAATTTTTTTCATAGACGGATTCGATCCTAGTATCTCCTTTCTATAGAAAAAAACCATCCGATTAATCGCGACTAATCGTCAAAAGTTGCAAAATACATCGCCGACTAATCGCAACAATCGAACGCCAGGTCACGTGAAAGTCGCCGATTTTTAAGCGATTTATACCACATGTGTAATTTAGTCGTTGGTACCTGTTGATTAGTATCATAGTTACTTGGAATTGAAAGCGCAAGCCTAATTACATAAAATGATTGCATATAATGAACAGACATACCTCTCTGATTCTGCCCAAAAAAGACGTTTCTTTATTGGGTATTTCTTCACCGTTCCATCGCTCTTCATGTCGAATTATTTTGTTATCTTTGATTGATAACAGTACTACTGAATCCATCGTTGTTTCACCACCTATTTTCATCTTATATATCGTTCGCAATGATATTTGGATTAAATCTGGATTCGATTCAATATCTGCATCACTTCGTACAACGGTTGAATCTTCGAATACTTTTGGTAACGCTTTAAATGCCGATTTCACTGATGACAAATTTCCTGAAAACTGCAACGGATCTTCAAACTGAGCTTGATCATCATAATGACGAAATGCTTTGTCTGTTGGATTACTATTGTACAAGTCCAGAACATCCTGAACCATTTCCTTGCGTATAGTCAGGTCTTGATCACCTAAACGACAAGAAATAACAGTCACTTTAACTTTCATTCAGAAGAATATGAAATACTTGACACTCTTGCATGCAAAGAAGAAAATTTTAATCTTCATCATAATAACTCTTTCTCTAAAATCTCAGCATAATTAGTTTGAAGATATGAGAAGCGGAATTACAAATCACCACTAAATAGAGCTGTTAGCAAGTTCAGTTAACAACTTCCAACATAGTTAGCAACTTAGCAGTTTATACTTTAGCGAAACTTAGTTATTTGGAACAACGTTTCAAACGGTTTTGCTCTTACTTAAAGATGATTTGCCTGTAGTTGTTGGTACACTTGTCGTCATTTGCTTTATTATGAAGTTAAATAATTTTTAAGGAGTTGAGTGATGTAAGAATTTCGAATGGAATAGTCGAGTTCTTTAGTAAAAAGAAAAGTGCACTATAACGTTTCGTGGTACACATACTCTTTTTCTTTCCTCTGTTCTCTTTTTTTGATAAAAGAAAAAGCACGCATTAAAATGACATACATCGGAACGGTTATATAAGAGTCAAATAAGGTTACATAACACGTATTACGCACGTGCCTTTCTTTCCGTCAATATCGATAACAATATTCAATGGCACATTCTAATAGGATGTAAAACATTGGACAGCGTATGTTTTAGTATGTATATGTGATAACCAACTTTTCTTTTCGACTCTTCTCAACATGTAATGGGTCCGCCCGCTTTGTTGAATCAAATAAACTATGTTTAGATCAAACATTGGACAAGACTGCTTTCCAAAAGTATCAAAAACAGCAAGATAAAATTAAGAGGAACCACGGGTTCTTGACCGAGTAATAAAGATCGAGAGGCGCAGTAATATTATTTCTCTTTCAGTATATCATGATTTAAGTGAATTATCTAAGAAGAAACTAATAGAACTGAGAAATCCTACCAATAACTACAATGCGTCGTTCTTCATCACATCGGTTGAACCGAAAAAACTATCCAGTCACAACAATGTCGTTCTTCAACGCTGTCACCGATTTTTACTTTGCTTTTAAATACAAAAAGCACTAAAGTATAGATAAGAACAATAGTGTATTCTTGAGTATGAAAAGAATTTCATTTGTGGAAGACTCGATGAACCCCGGCCTTGTAAAAAAAGATGTCTCCATTGTTTTCGCTTCTTGGCAGATTGTTGTTGAACAGAAAATCGCGCTTAACCGCGTAAAAAAGCCCTTAGTTTCCGAGATAAATCATCTTTAATGTTTTTCTTCAAAACCCTGCGTAACTATTGCTGATTCTAACAGAACGCTAGAGAAAAAGAATTTTTTGTTTTTGACTTGAAAGGTAAGAGATAATAGTATTTTTCTCTCACTCTGTTAGAATCGACGGCATACGCAGATAGCATCGAGAAGCAAAATGAAAGGGAAACATTTTATTGAACAGATCAGAGCTGTTTACCACTAATTCAATTTTCGTTCCTCTCTTGCTAACGATGAAAAACTATGAATTTTGATGGCTCCCATTCAGGTATGCACTGAACTTCGAGTATACCGAAAACTCGAACCGAACTACCTGAAAATTAAAGTCTGACTTTTTCTGATGCTTTTTATTCTCAGGCCTCCACATTAAAGCGGATACCACACTTTTATTCTATTTTGCATGTATACCTTCATTTTACACTTTACGCAAGTAATCTGGACTTTTACGTCACTTTAGTATTTTGCCATAAGAAAAGTTTTGCACTTAGAGTAACACATTTTCGATTATTTTCGATTTCGAATAATTCGAATAGTTCTTCAAAACTGGATTCAAGCAAACGCCTGAAAAGTTTTCGTTCAGACATATCAGTTATATATCAAGACAATTAGACGATACTACGAAGAAAAAAAAGAAGTCTCAACTTGATTTTTTTTGAAAAATAGTACCTTCCAATTATCTCGATATAACGTCTGAACGAAAAGTTTTCAGGAGTTTGCTTGAATCCGGTTTTGAAGAACTTCGAATCTTCTTTTTAATGAGAGGCTGCGAAACTCTCCACGACTTTTTCTCAAAACGTTATAACGTTTTGAAATTCGCCAAAAACGGTGACCTAATCACCTTTCCAGTAGCAAAAGTTAAGCTGAATAGCCGAAGATATACTATATTATCTGCTCACATCTTATTTAATAATGTTTAAAAAACCCAGTTTGATGCATTTTGATCTCAACTTACGAGGGAAGTACCCCAACTGATAAATCCCTTTTCCAACGAAACCGAGTGGACTATAGGTAGTCGACGATGCTGATTCCGAATATCACCATGAATGCTGCTGCTAGGCCTTCAAAGACCGGTCTTTCGTACTCTCATGGCAACAAGAAACTAGCAAACTTTATCTTAATATTCTAGCCTTTTCGCGTTTTCCTAGTGAATGCGCTTGATTTCGGATACCTATGAACTTGCAATCGAGAGTTCAGCAACCTTACTATCAGGGGTTCCTATATGCTTGAAATAAATGCCGAACTAATCTCTTTATATTTATTCAGAAGTAGAATAATACTAAACAATAAAGTGAATAAAACACAATAATCTAAACGATACGAAGAAATGACG